TACCAAAGTTTCTTAATCCAGTCATCTACCGATGGGCATTTTGGTTGTTTCCAAGTCTTAGCTATTGTGAATAACGCTGCAATGAACATAGGGGTACATATATTTTTTTGGATTAATGTCTTGGGATTTTTTCCAAACCAATTCTTAACCATCACGCCACTCGGCCGGCCGGTGACTGGCTTTTTGCCAAATGAAGTCTCAAAGGGTAGTGTGAAGAAGCCAGAGGGGGTGAAGAGTCTGTCCTAAAACACTTGGGAAACTGGGGATTGACCCCGGGACCTTTGTAAGCTGGTGAAGGGACAATGAAATTCTCACAGCAGGGCGCCCCTCTGCCCCACAATTCAGCATCCTGTGAGCACAACTGGCCCTTAACTCCCCTCTTCACCGGTGGAAACTTGATGCCTGGGATTGGGCCTGAGATGAAAAGACCTTTTCAAAACTTGCCGCTGGATAAGAAAAGGAGGAGTCCAAGCAGAGCTCAGGCCCAGGCCCCAGAGGTATAGCTGTCGTCTTCGTTGACCATGGAAATAACACCTGCTGTTTCATCAGTATTTCTGTTGATGATACTTCCCACATACATGATGTGAATCTCACGTCTGAGATTCAAAAAAACCTCTGGTATTTTCATTATTCCCATTAAACAGGTGGTAATACTGAGGTTCAAAGAGATAATGTAACCTACCCAAGGTTGTACAACTAAGGGGAAACCAGGATTCACAACCAAGCATGTCTGGCTGTTTTACCACTGTGCTATAATGCTGTGCAACAATCTTCTAAGGAATTGTTATTCCCCTCTTATAGGTGGGTAAGCAGGCACTCAGAGAGACTGTCACTTGGCCAAGATTGTCATTAAAGGGCAGAGCCAGTATTTGAATGCGGGCCACACATGTGCCCCTCTGCTCTGCTGCCTCACAGCAACCTTGTTCTTTCATATCAGAGCTCTCTTCTGAACTTTAAACATCGAGCAATGATTCCTTTCTGAGCAGGGCCTGACTCTGGGAGGAGGGAGTGTAGTCTCGGTTTGCCAGCTTCCTGGCACCTTCTCATTGCCTAGTGGAGGCTGTGAAGTCTGCTGGCCCAGTGGTCCCCAGCTTGGCCCTGGGAGCCCTTGGGAGCTCCAGGGAGGCAGAGGACAGCAGGAAGCAATCAGAGTGCGCAGATGGGGTGATGGCTATGGTGCCTAATCAGGGAATTACAGCCTGGGCAGAAGAGGAGTTTGGCTTAGATGTTCCCCTTCCCTGTATTTCAGTAAAGCAGGCCCACATGGGTGCTTGGCCAGCAGATGGAATGTGCTGAGCTAGCAGAACGCACTGACCAGCCTTGTGGGTGCAGTGAATAGCCATCCCCATGCCCAGACAGTTGGCCTCTTGGCTGGTGACATTATAGTCCTTTCTGACCCTCTGCCTGCTCCTGCACCCACTGATAACTCATCCGCAAGGGTAGAAGCTGTGGGCATCTAGAGGTGGTGCTTTGGGAGGCCATTGGCCTGAGTCAATGGATTTTTATCTGACCCTTGAATGAGCAAGCAGAAAACGAGTGAAAGAATTGTCAGGTGGAAAAAGCCAGTTGCAGAACTGTACATAACGACACCATATGTATTTTTTTAAAAAAAGGGGGCAAATAAATAAAACCACCCACATGAAGTGGCAGTGAGAAATTTCTTTCTCTTTCAGGTGGCAAAGGTGATAGACAAAGACTAGTGTTGGCCGGGGTCTGGAGAATGGACACCCTTGTCTGCTTTGGCTGTGCAAATAGGTGTGGCCTTCACAGGCAATGCGGATTAGATGTTAGGTATGTTCCTATGGCCCAGCGGTTCTGCTTGAAATTATCCTAAGGAGCCACATGACAAAAACACAGAGACCCATGGATAAGGATGTTTATTTTGGCCTGTTGTAATCGGAATACAACAAAAGGAAACAGGATTGCCTAAATGCCCATTGGTGAGGAAACTTGTTAAATTACTCTGAATCCATACATAAAAATAGTACATAAAAATACACTTAAAATAGTACTTAAAAATAGTGATCTGTTGATAAGAATAGATGTTCTTGACATTATATTGAGTGAAAAAAGTGGCTTCTAGAGCAACAAGTGATATGATCCTCTTTACGTAATAGTGAGTGAGCCTCTGTAATGTATGTGTACATACACATGCACGTATGCTGAGGGATGTCTGCAAGGATAATCGGATTAATAGTGGCTTGGTGGTTTTGACTTTTGTCCTCATACTTTTCTGAACTTTTTTAACTTAAAGAGTGAATATGTATTTTATAATCAGGAAAAACAATGCAATTTTCACCTTGAAAAAAATGTCAAGCTGCGCACATGCGCGCGTGTGTGCATGTGTGCGTGTGTGCGTGTGTGTGCGTGTGTGCGTGCGTGTGTGTGTGTGTGCGCGTGTGTGTGTGTGTGTACCATACCATACCTGTGGAGAGTGGAAGGGCATTCCAGGCAGAAAGAACCACATGCATAAAGGAAAGATGGCGGGAGCTTGCGGCGGGCGTAGGGTGTAGCTGCAGCCTGCACTGGGGGGTGGGGGTGGGCGACCGTGGAAGTAGATTGGAGCAAGATCCTGAGGACCTGAAGGGCGCAGCGGGGCAGCTGGAAGCAGGGAGTGACCTGGCCAGATCTGACTCCTGCTGCCTCGCTGAGCACTTATGGTTCTCCTCTTCTGTCTCTTCCTCTCCCCCTATCTCCACGGGTTCCCCTTTGCCTGGTGCAGTCTCACCTGCATTCCTGTGCACCTGTTCCAATCCTACCTGCCTTTCAAGGCTCCACACCGGGCCCCCTTTAACAGGAAGCCTTTCCGGATTGCTACAGTTAGCCTTGATTTCTCCTTTCCCATACTTTCACCCATGACCTTTCATACCTGACCTTAAACCAGACCTTAACTCCTCCACACGTAGATATTTCTTCTCACAGCACCAGTGGGGTAGAGCCGTGGACTGAGCAGTCATGCCCTCACTTCTGGATGGCAATGATGGACTGCCTGAGAGATATGCCAGCTTTACAGTCCTAATGGCAGAGGGAAAAAGTGGGCAGAGAGACCCAGGAGTTATTTTAAGGCTTTTTTTTTTTAAGATTTTTATTGGAGAATTGGGGGAGGGGAACAACATTGGGGACTCGAGGAAGGGAACAGACAAGTTGCTGTCCTTTTTGTTCTTCAGTCTAGTTGTAGAGGGTGTCGCTTCACTGGCCCACGTTGGTATTATCATTGCGCTCTTCCTGAGTGAGGCAGTCACTCACTGGCCATTGGTTGGCAGCTCAGGAAAGCGTACATCCGCTGCCGGCCAGCCCCACTGCAGCCAACACCATTGCTGGCGACTCATGGCAGCCCAGCTCCAGATCGAGCTGTTGTTCACCATCTTAGCTGTAGGGGGCGCAGCGTCACTGGCCCTAATG